GAGATGGCCAGCACAGACGTTTAACAATTACGTCCCTACATAACGTGAAATTTTTTATTGCATTACAGCAATGCTTGAATTCGTTTTTTTTTATATCGTTTCTTATCTATCTTTTCCTTGTTTATTTACATATCCACCTATTTTCTTTGTTTGTCTCTCAATCCCGTATTTATTTGCTTATGCATTCACCTCTACGTTGAACATATCCAATTATCATATTTATTTTCAATTAAGCATATCTAAGTAATTAAGTATTCATTCACTTATCTATTTATGATTACGTTTTTTTCTAATTAAAATAGAATATGCAAATCATACTACTCTTCGTGCGGATTAACCACAGGTGTAGATGTTGCATTCATCAAGGCATTGCGCAAACGGGGGGAGGGGGGGCATTTGAGAAACATGCAAAAAGGTTATGAAGTATATGAAAAGATAAATAAATGTGTATATAAACGTGTATATATGTATATATATATATATACATATATATATATATATATATATATATATATATATATATATATATATATATATATATATATATTACATACACATACCATGTACTAAAGGCACAGAGCCTTAGTACATTGGATATGACTGGTCGGCCAGTGATAGTGGTTATAACGGCTTAACTGTTTATAAAGGAAGAGTACTACGCAGTGAAGGGAACACAAGAGACGTTGACTTAGGGCAAGGGGGGGGGGGGCGGAGGCAGGTGCTGACATCTTCGCGTTGACTGCCGGGAGCGAACTGAGGGGTCAGGCAAGGTCAGATATAATCGTCATCTAAGCCTTGCGGTGTGAGGGTTTTGAATTGGCTTAGAGCCACGTAGCAGACAGCCACGTGGTCTATTGGTCTAATGGCTTAAAGACATGTTAAAGTGCGTATGCGTGTGCGTGCGCGCGCGCGCGCGCGCGTGCGTGTGTGTGTGTGTGTGTGTGTGTGTGTGTGTGTGTGTGTGTGTGTGTGTGTGTGTGTGTGTGTGTGTGTGTGTGTGTGTGTGTGTGTGTGTGCGTGCGTGTGTGTGTCTGTGTATTTAGAGCTTCTGAAAAAAAGTTCTCAATCTATTACTTTTTTTGTGTTCAATCTATATTGAATGTTTATGTATGTTTCATGAATATTTAAATAGACTATCTATTTCTTACGTACGTATTCATTGGCATTAATATAGTAAATACTTGGGTCTCTATCACGTTATGTGTGCTGTTATTGAGTAAAAAAAAACAAAAACAAACAATATTACACTTATCAGACCATGGGTACCAAAGTGAGTACAAAAAATAGTATTACATTTTCTTTCATCTATAGCCCCCCCTCCCCCCCCTGGTGTTATCTCCCGGAAACAACTTTCCGTTTTCTTCCGACCTTTTGTTATGCTATTTTGAGGGGGTCTTGTTTTATTCTTTCCTTTTGATTTTGGTTTATTCTCTGCATTTCATCTCATTTTGTACTATCATTTTGGTCCCTCGTTTTCTTTTATTATTATTCTGGAACTAAATAATATATGACATCCGGGTATGAAGATGACAACATTATCTGGTCAGAGTTTGAAAGATTAAATTATAGATTGTATCGAAAAGTCTTTTCCCCAACAGGATATGTTTTTTTTATATTATGTAACGAAACTAGCAAAAGCGATAAAGACTAAGAACCATTTCTTCATCAATACCTATTATTAACTTTTAAAAAATGGCTTATTAATATTCATGCTTCTTCTTTCCAAAATCTTAGTGTTTCTTTCCAGTCATATATTTTCCCTTCAACCTACATAAATTTCAATATAGCTTAATATTAGAAACCTGTGTCAGTTTTGAATAAAAAACAAGAATTTCCTTTTTTCGGGAACATAAATAGACCAAATCGAATGAATTAATAAAATTTTGCTCGTTTTAATAAGATCTAGCTCGCAACATTTTTCAATCTTCCTCGAACTTCTTTAAATAATTTTCTATTACTTGCAACAGGTTTCCTATTAACATTCTCAAAAAAATCATCTGTTTCCCTCTCTGGTATTTGAGTTTTGTTGCCTAAAACACCACGGAGAAATTTAATGGAAAAGCTGCAGAAAAGTGTTGATAATATTACCTCATTGAATTTCCCGAACCAAAGTTGCTAGCAATGACATCATCGAATAATAATTGGGAGATAAATATATGCTAGATTGGAAGTCTGCCTTAAATATGTGTATTTTGATCATTTAAAGATATTTTTTTCATGAACGAAATGATATCATGTAATTGGCAATTCTATCGACCAGCCAAACACTTTAAAAACATTTAAATTGGTTTATAACCTTTAGAAAACAAGGCAAGTACAAACAGAAATAAATCGTCCAGTTTATATGCCGAAACCATGGTATCAAAATAACTTTTTTGAGTTTTAAATAATGAATGACTAGTTTTACAGGGTTACTAAAAGTATATGCGACTTTATACACTTCATTCATCCCATATAAAGTATTAAATTAGGTATTAGTATAATATTTATAATAATTTCTTAACAACTAGTAAGGAAATGAAACCTTCTTTTTTCAATTCTATCTTTACTCACATTTATAGAAAATATATAAAACTATATACAAAGATTTGTACATTCACTTTACAAAATCAAATTATTTGGTAAAAAATAGAGAAAGGGGTGTTTGGAACAGATGCAAAAGAACCAAACAAGACAGGAACACCTGTTAGTTACCATTAAATCATTGTTCACAACTATAAGCAAAGTGCTAGTGTAATTGTCCCTTCTTTGTTCACTGCACTGCTGAGGAATGTAACTTCATTAAAATAGAACAATAATGATGAAAATAAAACCTGTACTTCGGAAATCTGTCATTTTTTATGCTGTCCATCGTACCGGTGTAGTTCATTGCTCAGTGTTAACTCAAAAAAATAAAGTGGAAAAAAATATACAATATGATATAAGTTACATCTGAGGTTCTCTTTTGGCACTCGAACACAATTAACCATCAAAACCATGTGAGTCAGGTATAAGGCCCTTATACCTCCTTAAAGAAAAGAAGTACATATACAAAGGGAAATCTTTCGTATACATATATAGTTCTAGCACTTTGAATGCACACTCAAGTAAGTTTGTACATTTTGATGAGAAAAATTAATGCCGTTGCACTTTCATCGGTTAAGTGTTAAGCAGTCTATTGTCTTGTCTGTCTGCACGTGGCATCAGTGCAATTAAAATAAATAAATAAAAGATAAAAAAAACTCAAGAAAACACTGATTAGGATAACTTGCACCAATCACACTGGTTCCGGCAACACCCTCGCGCTCACTCTTTACCGGGGCATGTTCAGTGTCTTTGCGGGGCCCAGCGAGAGCACGTCGCTCACACCCCACTGCTGCAGCGTCATGTGGCCATTCCTCAGGTTCTCCAGCGTCAGGATGGGCACGCCCACCACGCCGCCCGCACCGCGGTTCTGCAGATTGGTGAGAGGCAGGAACGATCGGATGCCCAGGGCTGCCATGCGCTGCACATTCACGGGATTGCGCAGGTCAACCAGGGGTATGGCAACGTCTCCTGCAGAGAGGTGCAGCTGATGGAACTGCTGGTAGTGGTGCTGCTGGCCCTTCTGCGTTGAAAATCCCGCTGTACACAAATGGCACTTGAAAGGCATTCGAGACTGCTGGTGCTGCTGATGCACTCGGCTGTGCTCTGCTAGTAACGATGCCGTCGGGAAAGACCGGTCGCACTGGTGGCACTGGTGCCGGGTGCCCTGAGATCCAGCGGTTGGTACGTCTTGTGTCAGGTCGACTGTGGGGGGGCGAGGAGGCCGCTCGACGTTGCTGTTAGTGACCCCGCTCCCTCGAGAGGCGGGCGCTTGGGGGACGGCGAACCCGTCTCGGTCTCGCTCTCTCGCACCCGCCTCTCGCTCTCGTTGTGTTGGTGGGTGCACGGATATGGCGGAGGAGAGGTTGAGCTCCTGGGCGGTGGGGAGACGGCGGTCGTCGCGCCCGCCGCCACCTCCCTCCTGGCGTTCTCCTGCAGCGGGGGTCACGGTGATGCCACGCGACGCCAGCAGGTTGGCCACCGCACCGGCGTCCGGCCCTCCTCTCTCCCCGCGCTGCACGGGCTCCTTGTTGGCGGAGGACGTTCGAACGCTGAGAGTTATGGAGTCACTGAGATTAATGGTTGATTCTGTTGAAGGGGGATTGCTGCTGCTGCTGCCACTGCCACTGCTATTACTGCTACTGCCCCGCTGCTGAGAGCCAGGTGCTGCAGAGCCTCCCTGCACGTTGGCAATGACAGGTAAGCCATCGGTGCGATTGGCCACAGCAATAATCTGACACTCATTGTCTTTCTGGCGAGAGGGAACGTTAATGTCTTCTCGACGCGCCGATTTGTTTGGAGAATGACCTGCTGCACCCAGGAGTTGCCTCTTTCCTGCAGCACCCTGTTGCTGAGGCGAGGGTTGTCTCTGGCCGGGGTACATTGTCTGGTGCATCCGTTGTAGAGGCGGCATCATCCCACCCCTCCCCCCTGGCGCCGGCATCAGAGGAGGTGGAAGGATAGACGAAGTAGGAGGGCGACCTGGCCCACGGGAGGGCTGTAGGAGGGGTCCCTGGTGTAGGGGAGGTCGCCCCATCTGACCCATTAGTGGAGGGCGTCCCCGGACACGCGGTGGAGGGCTCGGACGATATGGCATGGCAACGCTAGGAGGTAATGGGGCACGCAAGGGAGCGCCTAGATTTGTATTTGCCATACTGGTTCCTGCTAGACTAGCATAGCCACCTCTGCCAGTGTAGCCAGAAGCCTGTGGCCACTGGTTGCCATATTGGGACATCATGCCACCTACACCAACCTGACTATTTGTCGTTGTGGATAGCATAGCTGTACTGGTTGTTGGGGCCATGAGGTTGTTGGCAATTGTTAGACGCGGTACACCTCCCTGCTGCTGTTGATCTCCACCCTGAGGGGACTGTTGCAACTGCTGCTGCAAAGGTGACGTCGTGGGAGGCGTGGGTCCTCTTATGGCCGGTGAAGACCCCTGGGGCGGGCTGGTGAGGGGACTGGTGGCAAGTGCCCTGAATGAAGTGTCTGAGGGGGGTGGCGTTGGGTGCCCACTGGAGGAAGTTGGCGTGCCGGAATTGGAACCTCGTGAACTAAGGTGTGAGGGAGTTGCTGGTCCCCCACTGTGAGGTGAAGGACCTCCACTATGAGGCGACCCATCTACCTGGCCAGCCTGAGACCCCTGACCACTGTTGTTCAAATATTCCAATTCAGACAATAAGTCATTCGTCACTCCAGATGCCTGCTGTTGCTGCTGCTGTTCTGATGACTGCATCTGACCGTCTTGCTGCTGATCAGACTGGTCTTGGCCTGACTGCTCATTCTGGTTTGAGAAAGAGTCATTCAGACACAACTGTTCAAAGCTTCCCTGCCTGTCATTCTTCTCGGGGGACTCCTGGCCCAGCACTGCCTGACTGAAGAGCCCGTCTTCTCCGTCGCCCTCGTTTGTGCCGCCATTTACAGGTGGACTGGAGTTGCCCTTCTCTGGTGGAGTGCTGGCTGTTGTGTAAGTTGGATTAGCTGCTCCTTCAGCACCACTGGCCCACGCACTGCTCTCGCTGGCAGACTCGGCCGTCGTTGCCCCTGCCATGGCTGCAGCTATCCTTGGGCCTGACTCGTATTCACTGAACCAGTCACTTGTGGGGAAGGACTCAAACTGAGGCTGATAAGTGGAGGGTGGTGCTTCACTAGGTCCTGCTGTTCCAAAAGCAAGCTCCTGTTCACTGAAGTCAGAAGAGAAGCCTTCACTGCCTTCCCCTGTCCCCACAGCACCCTGCTCGTCCCCTTGCTTTTCTTGCTGGTAATCACCCTGTGCCTCTTTTTGGTGTGATGAAGAAGCCGCTTCCTCTTCTTCTTCGTCTTGATGCTGTTGCTCCCCAGAATGACCTTCTCTAGAATCCTGCTCCTCCGGCTCGTAATCCTGGTGTCTATCTCTATTCGCGTCGTCATGCCCAGGTGAGTGCTCACCTCCTTCCTGATTTTCTGCCTCTTCAGAGGCCAACCCGTCCTCCTCTTCACCCTCACTTTCACCCTCACCGCTCCCTGCTCTTTCTGGAATGCCAGTCTCTTCTCCGGCCTCTGCCTCTTCCTGCTCAAAAGATTCAGCTTCCGTTCCTTCTTGATCTTCTAAGCTGTTATGGCTCTCACTCATGCCCTCCTCGTTACTGACGATGCGCACTTCTCTTCGCTTACGGCCACGTCCACGTCCCACTTTGGAAATCCGGAGCTTCAGCTTGAACCCTGAGGAGGACCTCCTCCCGCCAACTGAATCCACTTTGACCCTCTGCAGCTGTGCTGCACTTAGGCGCACTAGTCGCACCTGAAGTTCCCTTTCGTGTATGTGGCCCACGTGATGAGTTTCAAAGTCGTGTTTGGTTGCAAACCTATTGATCTTACAGCGAACACACCATAAAATAGGTTTTCTTCTAACCTGGGAAGGTCTATTAGCCCTTGTGTTATTAGATCTCTGGCGCACAGGTGCCTTTCCTACCCTTGACTGGGGGCCAGTCTTAGCACGCTCTGAAGGTGCCGAATAATTCTGTTCTTCGGCAGAGTCTCTTACCACGTGATTATTTTGGAAGTGCTCGTTGAGAAGGCTCTCACTAGAGTAGTCAGCTGGGCAAAGAGGGCAACTGTACACTTGCACATGGGCATGGAAAAGTGCCAAATGGTCACGGAGGAGTGCCACATCCTGGAATAATGCACCACACTCCCAGCACTGGCCACATTCCCCTGCTAACTGATGCTCTGGCTGCGGTGTACTTTGCTCCTGCGGTTCTTGTGAAACTTCTTGTGACTGCTCTAACTGCTGCTCCTCTTGCTGCGACTGATCATCTACACTGTACTGTTGCTGATAGGCAGGACTGCTGAAGGGCTGACCATAGTACTGCTGTTGCTGCTGATCGTACCCAGAATCTTGTTGATTGTAGTACGAGTCTTGGTTGTAGTAACCTTGCTGGTTGTAGTCAAACTGTTGGTACTGGTATGGAAGGTAGTTGTTCTGCTGGTACTGCCCGCCTTGTGCATACGTCCAGTCGTTTACTGCACCGTTCGTAGACACTTCACCTGCAAAGCAAAAGCCGTCTTAGTCGAGGACAAACATACGAGAAAGAACAACATAAATCAAAGGTTTGATAATCAGGCAAAATCAGGGGATTAAAAATATCAAAGCAACTCCATCACTGGACTCTGAAAAAAAAATCAAATAGTGTAACATGCAAAGAAATAATTGTAATTTCAGGCATCATCTGCCCTTTTACTAAAAGATCAGTCAACTTTTGAAGAAATGAAAGAAAAAAAGAAAGAAAAAAAAAAAAGAAATATATATACAAGGTAGTAAAAAATAAAAAAGGCAAGAAGCAAGCATATATATTTAGTAGCTTAATTGAACTTCAATAATATGAACACTTCAGGAAATTCGCAGAAATAGCATAGACCTTAACGAGTCTAACTTAAGAGTTTATCATCATTAGTATGCAAATGTACATCATCTGAACAACTGTTCCCTTAAAATGCAAGATCAAAACTTCATTATGACCGGCAACCTGAAATTTGTTTGAACTTCTTTGTATACAAATGTTGCAAGAAAACAAGGTTTATATAAAAGTCTCCTCTAAACTTAACTCTTTCTTTCTACCTCTCCTTTGCCTTTTCATCTCTCTCTCTTTCTCCCTCCTTTCCTTACTCCGTCTTCCCACTCCTTTACTCCCACCCTCTCCCTGTTTCTCTCTGCCTCTCTCTGTCTCTCTCTGTCTCTCTCTGTCTCTCTTTGCCTCTTTCTGCCTCTCCCTCCCTCCCTTATCAGAAAGAAATTTCTGTTTTATTAGAGATAATAATAACTAGGGGACACAAAACTAGGTTATCGAATATATGAAATAGGGCAGTTAAAATGGGTTTAATGAGAAAAGGTGAGAGGAGGAGGAGGAGGAGGAGGAGGAGGAGGAGGAGGAGGAGGAGGAGGAGGAGGAAGTGGAAGAGGAGGAAGATGAGGTGGGGGAGGAGGAGGAAGATGAGGGGGGGAGGAGGAAGATGAGGATGAATGGGGAGGAGGAAGATGAGGTGGGGGAGGAGGGAAGGAAGAGAAGGGAAGGAAGAGGAGGAGGTGGAAAAGGAAGAGAAGGGAAGGAAGAGGAGGAGGTGGAAAAGGAAGAGGAAGTGGAGAATGAGGGAGGAAAGAAGAACGAGGGGGAAGGAAGAGGGGGGGGGGGAGGAGAGAGGAGGGAGGAAGAAGGAAGGCGGAAGGAGGAAGAGGATGTGGGAAAGCCAGAGAAGGAGGGGGAAGAGGGGGGGGGGAGGAAGTGGAAGAGGCAGGGATTAAAGGAGGGGGAGATAACTCGCATATCCTGTCTCTTTCCAACTTCCATTCCCTCCTCTCTCTTTCTTTCTTCCTTTCTTTCTTTCTTTCTTTCTTTCTCTCTCTCTTCCTCTTTCTTTGTCCTCTCCTTTTTCTGCTGCTCCTCAAGCCCCACAACAGGATCAAAGACCTCGCGCCCCTATCTCTTTTTTTTATCTCTTTCTCTTTTTTTTTCCTTTTCTTTCTTTCTCCTCCTCCCTTCCTCCACCCCCCCCTCCCCCCTAACAGTCCCTCCCTTTCACCCAACCCTCTTCCATCCTTTTTTAATTATTTTTTTTTCTCCTTCCCTCCCTTTCTCCATAAATCCAATATACCTCATCTTTTCTCCCTAACTTTTCCTTTCCTTTTTCCCCCCTCGTAAGCGAATAATAATAATTATAATATTCATTCTCATCGACTTTCAGAAATATACGAATTCAAATCTTGACAATTGCGCCATCTGCACCCCATGCGCATCACGATCTTCCTTGGGTCTGAGAGATGGCCGAGAGACCGCCAAATTTAAAATAATAAATGAATAAATAAATAAATCGTTTATGAGAGGAGAAGAGAGGAGAGGAACGGAGAAGAAAAGAGAAGAGAAGAGAGGAGAACCGTTAAGAAAAGAGAAGAGAAAAAAAGAGAGGAGAGAAGAACCGTTTGAGGGAGGGGGGGGGGGGGAGGGGAGTATCGTTTGAGAAAGGAAAAGAGAAAAAGACAAGGGAAGAGAAAAAAGAGGAGAGAGGAGGGGAGGAAAACCGTTAGAGAGAAGAGAAAAGAAGAGAAAAAAGAGAGGAGAACAGAGAAGAGAGCAGTGAAGAGAAGAGAAGAGAAAAGAAGAGGAGAAAAGAGAAGAATAGAGGAGAGAAGAGAAAAGGCGGGAGTAAGCGAGAGCTCGCGCTCGTTCTTTCCCGCCTTTCTCTGTGTCTATTGTTGCTTCTCTGTCTCCACCTTCTTCCCTTTGGCTTTGTTCCTTCCTCCCCTTCTCCCTCCCACTCCCTCTTGCACCATATCTCTCTTGATCTTTTCTTCTCCTCCCCCTTTTTCTCTTCTTCTCTCTCTCTCTCTTTCTTTCTTTCTCCTTATTCTCTCCTCCTCCCCCCTCTTTCTCTTCCTCTCTCTCTCTCTCTCACTCTTCCTTCCTCCTCCTCCTCTCCCCATCTTCCTATATCCGCATTCCCCCCTCTTCCTATCTCCGCCTCCCCCCCCTCTCTTCCTATCTCTCCTCCCCCCCCTCTCTTCCTATCTCTCCTCCCCCCCCCTCTCTTCCTATCTCCGCCTCTCTCCCCTCCCCTCTCCGTCTCCTGCCTCCACTTCCCCCCTCGCCCTGTAAACACCTTCCCCGCCCGACTCCACTTCACCCTCCGAGAGATGAATTAAGGCTCCATCACGCCGAACACGCTTACAATTATTAATTATCAAAGCACGAGGGTTTTTTTCTCTCTTTTATATCTTTTTTTTTTTTAGATGTATAATTTCGATGATATATTCCTTCTAGACTAAATAATTTACGATAACAACTAACATGGTTTCGGTATACTGCGACCGTTCTCTTCATACATTAAGAGAAATTATTAGAAAAAAATAATAGATATACAAAAAAAAAAACTCGAAATAAACCTCGACAACATAACACGAACCGGCAACTCAAGGCCCAACTCCCCCCCCCCCCTCCCCCCAAAAAAAAAGTTATAAGTAAGGGCGTATCCCTCTCACACTCAGAGCCACGCCATCTTCGCCCTTACTCTCCCTGACCGGAAGGGAGAAAACGCCGCTCCTATTCTCCCTGCGTTACGCCTCTCGTCCAGCGATCGAGTGAATGTATGAGCACACAAACACGAACAAAATTTAAAAAAATATAATAATAATAATAATAAAAAAAATCGTGGAGAGAAAAGAAAAGAAAAATCTCGCTAACTTCAACTGTCGAATAGATTCCCTTCCCCCAGATGAAATATAAAACTTTGTAAAGTATGGAAGGCCGTCTTTTCTGAAGGCACAATATACCCATATATATGCAAACAAATAAAATTTTATAAGCTCTCCCTGCCTTTCACTCCCTGAAGTTCACAACTCATGGAGTCAAAAGTTATGCTTGATATATCATAAGTTATAATCAATGCTGATATAAGGGACAGAGCACAATACATTATGATTATTATGGTTTGTGCTATTGCTATTATCATTAAAAGGTAGATATAATTCTGCAAAGCTGACTAGGGTATGATTTTTGCAACAATACATGCGTATCTATAAAATAATTCAGTAATGGTAATAGTAATAATAATAATAATAATAATAATAATAATAATAAGAATGATAATATAAATAATAATAACAATAACAATAACAATAACTACAATAACAATAACAAACACATATATTTATCTTTTCACATATAAACATTCTCACGAATAATAAGCGAATAATAACAAAGACACATATATATTTATCTTTTCACATATAAACAAACCTGGAAATAACACTAAACAGACATTCGTTTATAAACAAAAATAAAAGCGTTATAAACAAATAAGAACAAGGAAACAAAAACACAGGCACAACACAGACAGTGAACAATAAACAAAAAAATACAATAGAGTATAAATTCAATACAATACCTTCCATCTCTCGTTCAATTTTTTCCTTTTTTTACACTCACCGAGGTCAGCTACAACAACAAAAGCAAAAAAAAAAAGGTAAAAAAGAAAAAAACAAACAAACAAGAAAAACCGTTACGGAACTTTTCGAACTGTAAAAAAAGACATACATACATACACGCATGCATTCTTACATACATACACACACATACATACATACATACATACATACAAAAACAAATAAGAAAAAAAAGTATATATATATATATATATATATATATATATATATATATATATATATATATATATATATATACGACAAAACAAAAGTAACAACAACAGAACATCAAACTGAAAACAAACCAACCCGAGGCAAAGAACAACGAAAGAAAAACAAACAAACCTTGATAACGCACGGAGTGGAAAGCAAACACAACAAAACCAATGAACAAAAGAAAAAAAAAACAAGCAAACACAGCCCTCCCCCCCAACAAAAAATCACTCACAAAAAAGAAAGAAAAAAAAAGAAAAAAGTCTACGTGTCTGTCTGTCTGTTTGTAAGTGCAGATAATAACGGTGGAGAAACAAAGGAAAATTTATGATAATTGAGAGGAAATGTACGCAATTCATATATATTATTTTTATGTATACATGTGTGTATGTGTGTGTGTGTGTATGTGTGTGTATGTGTGTATGTGTATGTGTATGTGTATGTGTATGTTTATGTGCATGTGTATGTGTATGTGTATATGTATGTGTATGTGTGTGTATACACATATATACATACATATATATATGTACACATACACAGCCTTTCGCAACCGCCTGCATATTGCATAGCGAACTTTAAGCATTGCCTATCTCAGCGTGCAACTACGAATAATGTTGCTTATTGCATATTGAAGCGCCAGAGTTGAGTACCACAAAGCGTCTTTTCTACCTGACATTGGGCATTCGATCGTTTCTGCTACGGATTTTTTATTTTCGGTTTTCTTCTCTCCTGTTTTCTTGCCTCTCCTTCTCTTCTCCTTTCTTTCTTTCTTTCTCTTTTCTTTTCTTCCCTCCCCTTCTTCTTTCTTTCTTTCTTCCTCTTTTCTTCCCTTTTCTCCTCCTTTTTTCTTTTTCTTTTCCTTTCCTCCCTCCCCTTCTTCTCCTTTCTTTATTTCTCTATTCCTTTCTTCCCTCCCCCTTCTTCTTTCTTTCCTACCCTTTCCTTTCCTTCTCTCTTCTTTTCTTCCCTTCTCTCTTCCTTCTCCTTACCTTCTCTTTTACTTTCTTCCCTTCTCTCCTTCTCCTTCTCCTTCCCTTCCTTTCCTCCTCCTCCTCCTGCTCTCTCTCCTTCTCTCTTCCACTTCTTCCCTTCCCTCCTCCTCCTCCTCTCTCTCCTTCTCTCTTCCACTTCTTCCCTTTCCCTCCTCCTCCTTTATTTCGTCTTCCTCTTCTTCCTCTTTTCGTCACCCTTCCCTCTATGTCTTCGTTCAACTGGAAACGTTAAATGGATCAGTTCAAAAGGAGAATCAATTCGTCGTTTTTGTTTTTTAACGTGCGGGATATATATATATTTGTTTTTGTGTGTGTTTGTTTGTTTTTCATCTGTGTTTGTGTATTTTTCGCGCGTTTGTTTGTTTGTTTGCATGTATGATTGTGTTTGCTATTCACACGTGTATTTGTTTGTTTGTTTGTTTTCGCGCGTTTGTTTGTGTTGTTAGCTATCCGTGCGTTTGTCAAGTTTGTTTGTTTGTTTTTTGTATCATCTGCCAAGACTTTCAGGTAACTCGGTATTTGGTTTAAAAAATGGATGTAATAATGGTAATAACGATAATAATGTTAATATAAGAGTACTTGCACAAATAATACTAACAACAATAAAAAATAATAAAACAAAACAAAAATAAAAACGACAATAAAACCACCAAAACCTCATAAAAAATAAATAAATAAAAAATATACAAATAAAACTAAATACAATAAAATTCGAGCTCCTTTGCCATCCCTCACAATCCGCGTAACTTTTTACTTTACGATTTCCAACAACCGCATCGCCGTTGGCTTGCTGTGGCCGGTTGCTACGGGTGTGTGGTTGTTCGCTTATCAACCGAAAAGAAGGGGGGGGGGGGTATTTCTTTCTTTCTTTCTTTCTCTTTCGCTCTTTCTCTCTCTTTCGCTCTTTCTCTCTCTTTCGCTCTTTCTCTCTCTTTCGCTCTCCCTCCCTCTCTCTCTTTCTTTTGCGCTCGCTCGCTCTCTCTCTCTCTCTCTCTCCCTCCCTCTCTCTCGTATTCTCTGTTCATAATCCGTAATTATATTTAAAAACGTAATACTCATTGCAAACGTGTGGTGAAAGCAAACAAGTGTGAGACAGGTGTACAACGCTGAACAAAGGCAACAGGTGTTCATTAATTGTTCAAAGTTCTGGGATAAGTTTTGGTTACGTGGTTGTTATTCGTACGGTACTGCGTGTGCGAATAAGTTTTGTTTGTAATGTCGGTGTTTCGGATGATGTTTATTCGACGGTACGAGATGACGTGGTTCCTTCGTAAGTACAGGTAAAGTAAGTAACACATGTTAACGTACATACATACACATACATTCACGCACACGCACACGCACACACGTTCACCTCCCCCCCCCCCCCCCGCACAACATTGACATTCTCCTAGATTCGAAAAAAAGCACCGATTCCCGTTCCGAAACAGGAATCTATTCCGAGTCCTAGCAAAGCTATGCAGTTGCATCTTCGGTTTCATCTTCCGCATAACAACACACTCGCCGATGACGCAACTCTCACTCGGTCTGCAGCGCTCTCTCGCTCTCGCTCTCTCTTGGTCTCTCTGCAGTTCTCTCTCTCTCTCTCTCTCTCTCTCTCTGCAGCTCCCCCTTTCTCTCTCTCTGCAGCTCCCCTCTTCTCTCCTCTCTCTCTCTCTCTCTCTCTCTCTCTCTCTCTCTCTCTCTCTCTCTCTCTCTCTCTCTCTCTCTCTCTCTCTCTCTCTCTCTCTCACACTCCTTCTGATTGACTTCTGACTTTTGGAAGGAGACAGGAAGAGAAAATGTGTTACGCGGAAAGTCGACTGTTTTCAGGGAATTTGCGTGTCTCTGTTTATCCGTTTGTCTCCTATCTCTCTCTCTTTCTGTCTGTACTGTCTGTCTTTGCGTTTGTGTTTGTATTTATTGGTGTGTGTGTGTGTGTGTGTGTGTGTGTGTGTGTGTGTGTGTGTGTGTGTGTGTGTGTGTGTGTGTGTGTGTGTGTGTGTGTGTGTGTGCGTGTGTGCGTGTGTGCGTGTGTGCGTGTGTGCGTGTGTGCGTGTGTGAGTGTGTGAGTGTGAGGGTGAATGTGTATATGTATGTGACTGAGTGAATAATTGAGTGAGTGTAAGTATGCGAATATGAGTGAGGGTAACTATAAATATCCGAGCGTAAATGCAAAGTACGTATGCACTGAACGTATACGCATGCCCGTGCGTATGTATCTATCTCTCTCTCTCTCTGCCAGCCCGCGCGAGTCCAAGCGTATCAGCTCTAAAACCCACACGAACTCTCTGTACTTCTCTCTCGACTCCCGCGCGTGCCCACTCGCTCACTCACTCACTCTCACTCACACTCACACACGCACACGCTCACACACTCGCTCACTCACTCACTCGCTCCATGTGCTTCTGTTTGTTGACACGCGCGCGAATCCACCCTTGGCGTCAGCGCGGTCGTTGTCGGAGATGCAATATTGCACGGCGGATGCTAACTGTTGTGTGTAGTGTGTGGTGTGCCTTATCATTCTTATCATTATTTGTATTATTATTATTGCTATTATTCTTTTATTACTAATATCATAATTATTATTATTACTATCATTATTATTACTATTAATATTATCATTATTAGTATTACAATAGTTATTATTACTATTATTATTATTATAACAATTATAATTATTACTATTATTATTATTATTATCACTACTATTATTAATATTACTATCATTATCATTATCATCAGATCATTATTATTAATTATCATTATTATCATAATCATTGTTACCAGCATCAGCATATTCTTATCATTATCACCATCATTATTATCGCCATTATTATTACCATCATTATTACTATCATTGTCTTCATTACCATTATTTTTTCTATAATTATTAAAATTATTATTGCTACTATAATTGTCAAGATTACATCATTATCATTACAATTAGAATTATCCACAATTTTATGCATTGTTTTTATTCATCAATTATTTTTTTTACTTATTTATTAATTTATTTTTATTTATCTATCTGTTTATTTTTTATTATTATTGTTTTTTGAAGGGAAGGGTGATAGACCAAACTTTCACAAACTTTCAAATTACAGTAATACGAAACTTTTTTTTTCTCCCCCTTCTCTCTCACTAATACATATATATTTTTTAAAATAACTGTTTTAAAAATATTCTGCTTCATTAATAATCATCACTTCCTTTAATTATTATTTCCTTCATTTGTGTTATACCAGCTATATTTTTTTCTTCAATTTCTCCTTCATATCTTTATCAATTTCCACAACAAACTAAATATTAACATATCTTTATCAATTTCCACAACAAACTAAATATTAAAACAGATTATATGAAATTAAAAAAAAAAAATCTTACATCTTGAAACAAATACAATCAAATATCAGAAATATTCCTTATATCTAAAAGTCTATATATATTAGCATCTGATAATCAAAATCATGCAGTATTTTAAATACTACGAAATTAGAAATTAAAAGGATGCTAATAAGACTAATAGCAATGTATACAAGTTTGCAATAATAATAATAGTGATTATAACAATAATAATAATAACAATAATAACAACAACAACAATAATAATAATAATAATAATAATAATAATAATAATAATGATAATAATAATAATTAAAAATAACAATAAGAGTAATAACAATAACAATAACCATAAACACAAAAACAACAGTAATAATAATAAAAATAATAATAATAATAATAACAATATGAATAATAACAATAACAATAATAATAATAATAATAATAATAATAATAATAATAAAACAATAACAATAACAATAATAATAACAATAATAATAAAACAATAACAATAACAATAACAACTACATTAAAAATACATATAACAAAATGAACCGTGCTCGAAATATAAGCGTGCAAATCACAGACTGAACAATGAGCAAAAAGTACAATATCTGAACAACGTGCACATCTACACACAAACACACACAAATCGGTGTACAGTAAATTCCCCAGTGAAAGTTGTGCAAACGGAAATGGTCTGTGTTTGTTTGTTTGTTTGTTTGTTTGTTTGTGTGTGTGTGTGTGTGTGTGTGTGTGTGTGTGTGAGAGAGAGTGAGAGTGAGAGAGAGAGAGAGAGAGAGAGAGAGAGAGAGAGAGAGAGAGAGAGAGAGAGAGAGAGAGAGTATAAGTATAAGTGTAAGTGTAAATTTGTGTGAGTATGAGTACGAGTGTATGCATATACCCACATAAACACGTACATACATACAAAAAAAAACGTGCATTTAGGCATACCCAACACCCACATACCCACAAAAAAAAATAAATAAATAAAAAATCAATACGTGTATTGCCATACGAAACACCCAACAAAAATCAACCATCTCGTGCGCCCCTCCTACCCCCACCCTCACCCTCACCCCCACACCCACACCCTCCCTCACACCCACAAAATACCCCACCCCCGTTCCTTGACAAATGTACCTTGAGATGGTGCAGCTGTATTCTCCTGGTGCGCGACAACCGAGACAGGGTTGAACCGCATATAACCGACTACTGCAACACTAGGCGACAATCTGCAAGAAAATATGGGGGGGGTGTTCATACTAGCAAGAAGTTGGGGGGTAACGATGAACACGAGGAGACAATCCCTGGAAACATGTGGAGGAAGAAAAGTAAGCTCTGGAACATGGAGAGAGACCCACATGGGAGATAGAATGGATACGTATACATACATACATATATGTACACACATACATACACAGTTATAGACATAGGCCTATATACATACGCATATGAACACACATACATACACAGCTATAAACATAGGCCTATATACATACGCACATGAACACACATACATACACAAGTACATAAACACACACACACACACACACACACACACACACACACACACACACACACACACACACACACACACACACACACACACACACACACACACACACACACACGACCCAAAAAAAATCACATCGGAAAATTGAAAATCGACAAACGAATTATTCCACTAATAACACTAATCCCTGCCTACAAGAACAAACGGACCAAGCAA